TAGACGGCCCAGTGCCGAGCTCTGGTGAAGTGTATCACCGGCAAAATGCCCTCCAACATCCAGAAAAGACACAAAACCAAGAATTGTTTAAACTATGGCTTGCTGCCACAGGACTTCAGTCATGCAGAGCTAATAGATCAGCTGCTGCTACCTTGCTTATCCAAACACTCAGCTGAGGTTACAGTTTCTCACTATTTTCTTTTTTTAAAGATAGTTATCTTATCATAGGAGCCTAGGATTGTCACGCAACATTTACAAAAGTAAAAATGACATGGGCTGGGGAGAAATGGTTCCAGCTACATCTGGGATAATCAGATACCTTCTTCCAAATCAAAGCATCATTGTTTTCTTTCACAAGTCCTATATCTAGGCAACCCACGATTTCCCTAAGCTCTCCATCTCCCAGGAGCAGTTTATTGTAAATGATTTATTGTAATCCTGATTATTGACAACCTTCACTGACCATAATATATTCCCTCTTAGAGAAGTTTTGTCAGTAAGTGGCCTGATTTCTCTTTGCTAGAATCTATATTAATGCAAAGTGGGGGTTTTTTGTTATTTATTTCTACAAAATGAAGATAGTGTCTCTAGCACACATTTTAAAAAAACAAAAAAACTAGATTTAAAGAACAGTAACAGCAAAGATTTTTCAGTATGTTAATTTGGCAGTTTCTACTTATCTGTATTCATAACCTGCTGTGATACATATCAGTGAAAGTAAAGTCGCAAACGGCTTTTGGACTGAGAAGTTTAGACTCCAAGAAAAAATGAGCAAGTCAGAAGTACATGGCCAGAGGTTTTTCTCGCATGGCAAGACACATCCACAGAATGTCATTTCTAGGGTAAGGATAACTTGAAGAGGCAGTTTACAACTGAACTGCTTAAGAATGGTGCCGATCTTAATGTGAAAACTGAAAACAGCACTGTGATCGTAGACCTGGGATTCTTCCCCACGTGGGAGATCTCTCTTAAATGGTTTGTCAACAAAGGCATCAAATAACCACAACTGAATGCAGATTATCAGCTGAACAATGTTTTAGTACAAGGCTGCTTCTTATTTAATATTCAGTAGAACACTTTCACTATGCAGGGGAGAATGTTTGCAGAATTAAAATGGCAGTAAGACTCCTACCAGCCTCCAGGAGACAGCAAAATGAAATTCATAAACAGAACCTAGCAAAAGTCTTGGAGGGGAAGGACAATAATAATTTGGTTTTCCTGGACCTTTTGTATTGACTGTCCAAATAACCAGGATACATTCACTTTTTTTTTTTTTCCAGAAAGGAAGTCTGATTGCCTTCAGTAAGCAGAGCCAGACTGTTCTGACCTGTTGAAATAACCCTTTAGATAATGCTCCTTTTTATCTGGTTCTCTTACAGATCCTAATGGTAAATATGACGAGAACAGAAAAGCTTCAGGCATTATTATACTCTGCAATCAGAGCTTTTTGACTGACCTATTTTCTTATTTCCATTAATCCAATTTTCTTGAAATCAAGCTCCTCCTTTTTCTTTATTTGTGGCCATTAATCAAATGTCCAAATGTCTCTTGCAATGCAAAAGTCATTAGGCAAGAATCATAACTGTAAAAAAGCTTTAAATAAAATTCTAATGCTTAAGACCACAAAATAGGCAGTTGGGTTGAAAAACTGCAGTATGAAAGAGAGGTCGGGCGCAGCTTTGTATAACCTGAAGATAAGTGGGAAACCAGCACTAAGAGGGCAGCCAGTATGGAACACTTACAAGTATACACACACACGTATTTCCCAGTTGTAGGTTTTCCCACCTGCTGCTTTCAAGATGAGCATCAGTGCAAAGTATATCTCTCATCAGCCCCCAGTTAAGCTGCTGGGAGAAGAGGCTGAGCCTAACACATTTCTGAACTTTATCTAACATCATTTTTTCCTGATATACTACTATAGGCCTCATACTTGTTTTCCAAACCCCATTGTGCTTTATCCCCTTGGGCAGTGCAGTCTTACTCATCATAAATACAGATTTCTCTTTGAACTGTAAGGGCAAAAAAAGTCTTCTACATTTTTAAGCAATATATCTTTGTTAGCCAAACCTAATAAACCCCTCAGTTATTTACCTAACAGCCATTTAAACACATGGCAAAGACTTTGCAAATTAACTCTTGAAGTACAATAGCTTTTTTCCCCCAACTTGTACACCTGAAATTTAAAATATGAACACAAGACATCTTTACATAGGTACACATTTGGTGCAGCGTTACGTGCATGACATAAGAAGAGAATGCAAGTTCTCCTTTTGTAGTTTTACTGTATGGTTACCGTGAACAAGGACTGTGAAAAAAAAGGTAGTGGAAAACTAAATATTAGAAGATTAAATTTCTTCCTCCTAATCCAAAGAACACCATCAGATATGTTTCATATATCCAAAGATTAAAGATTGGGAACTTGAGAGGAGATACAACCAACGAGAGGAGATACAACCAACAAGAGCAGGTATGGAATGATGACGTTATTTACATAGCTCATATACATCTAATCATGCAAAACAGAACAAAAAGGCTGAAGGGACTGACACTAATAAAAAAGCAAAAGCGAAAACATAAGTCTGTAGTAACCATCAGCCTAAGTTATGGTAGCAAAAATCCTTTTATTATATAGTCCCACTGCAAGCAATAGGGGTGCATTTAGTTAACAGTCTCTCAAAAAAGCAATATTGCTAAATTTGCATAACCACAAAGCAATACGTTTTCATTAACTTATGAACCTATAGAAAACAAAGTGATGACTTCATAAAAATTGTGTACTAAATCCATATACAGTCTGTATCACATCTTCATTGTAATTGTACCTACAGAACATTTCTCAGAGAGCTAAAAAAAAAAATAATTCAACGGTATTAGGAATTCTGCAGGATGGGTTATTGTCCAGCTGAATATCTAACACTGTCTAGTCATCGGTACGTGACAGGATGGTTTCTTTCACGGTTTAAGTTTTAGAAAATATTTATTGTAATTTAATTTTTTCGTAACAGCATTTCTATCTGACGTGGATTTGGTAATGGTTTCACTACTTCAAGATCAATCTAATATTAAATTTTCTTCTTCGGACACTCTGGAAAGGGACCAACAAGACCTCATGAAGACACAGGGGGATTCAGTATCCCCAATTCAGCAAACTGTGAGTAAGACGACCCCGTTCTGTTCTCTTTCTACAGAGGCACAAGTTCAGATGCAATATTTATCAATTGTTGTACTAAATCTCAGCATACTTAACTGGTAAAAAAGTAAACATTGAAAGCTTTATTGTTGAAGAGTAGAAACTCAAGTTATTCTTCTGAGCTAATCTTAAACTCCATGCTAAATTTCCTATTCAATTGCTTAAAAATCCTATTAAAAACAAAACAGGCAATTCATCTAGCTACTAATCCAGTAAAAATGCTATGTATAAAGTAATTCTCATCCTGTTTCTAAAATAAATAAATTAAAAAGCAGTCAGATAGAGAGACATCAGAAGCTTTTTGTCTACTCCCTGCCAGTAGAGGAATTTTTTGGCATAAAATGATCTCTCTCCTATTGCCTGTATATTCACTGTGCTTATCTTTCATAACAAAAGTACAACCGAGAACATTGTTTTTTATCAAACACCAGAAAAATAACCATTGTCATACTTTTATTATGAAAATTTCAGGTGAAGAACTGACAGCACTGCCATTCGTACAGCTTTATGACACCAAATATAGGGGGGGGGGTTTAATTCTTATTTAACAAAAGCTATCATAAACACATATATTAGGACTATAGAGGAGAGTGAGAAAGTAAGAATTAGGAAGTTACAAACTGAGTAAATTCGTGTTCATGTGAGAAGCCAGAAGTGTCATGAGGTTAGATATGCCTTCTGCAGGAATCCATGACAGGACAAACATTAATTGCTTTACCACACAGACCCACGTGCAGATGAATGAAAAAGCTGTGCCACGTTCTGCTCTGCAGAAAGCACTGGCTTTTATGCTAGCTTCTCTTTGGGACTTCTTGAAATCTGGTTCTTCCATGAAGGCATACATTCCTTTACTTTTCTCCTAAAATACTGTAAGGCCAACTTGGATTTGGAGGGAGAAGGAGGACAGGGACCACTTGATAATCTGGTCTGACTTTTTGTGTAACACAGAAAATTACATTTTCCCCTTCACTGAACACAGTAACCTGCTCTTGACTTAAGCATGCCTTCTCAAAAGGCATCCAAGTTCTTACTCATCCTTGCTGTCAGGGAAAATATGTACAATTTTCTAAGCTGAATGTGTTCAGCTTCAGCATCCAGACACTGGTTCTTGTTAAGCCTTTCTCTTCTAGATTAAAGAGCACTTCAGTAGCTGTTATTTTATTTTTGCTAAAGTGCAAAAGGGAAGGGAGGAGATGAAACAGGATGAAGGTTAAAATGTCCGCCTAGAGCCTACCTGTCTCACAGAATGAGTGTGGCTATGTTAATGAAAGGAAGTGATGTAACCAGCAACATATCTGGCAGCTTGTAATACCATCAGAGAATGAGATCAAGCTTATTTGACTAAACTTCTACATGACAAGACTTGCACTTACCATATTCCTGTCATTGAATCTTTCACCACTTGATCATACATCATCTTTTCCCTGAAATTGTCAGACCAACTAGTCAATATTTACCTAAGACATCCTGTTTTTTCCAAGATAGTTCAGTCTTCTCAATGCTTTTATTAATTTAGTTTTGAACAGTTTTGGATACCAAGTAACCAGAAAATCCTTTAGATCTTTTAGGGCCTCTCTGCATGAAGGTAGCTAGGACTAGTAATTTTATACTTCCCATCAATAATATATTTTTAATGTACTTTTTTGTAAATAATGAAAATAATAAAATATTTGTTCACACTAATGCTAAATAAATGCCAATAATTCATTGCAGGATAATCCCAGTTATAACTGCCAACCATACGAATCAGACAGCAGGACAGAAAGGAAGAGTTCAGAGTCTTCTCACAGCCCCAGCCCTGCTTCTCCAGCCCAAGATCAAATTCATGGGAGATATCCTACAAGCCAAGGAATTCACTGTGGCAAGAACAAATTTAAAGCGTCTTTCAGTACTGAAAAATTCAGACGGTACAGTTACGAGGAAAGTACTGTAGGAAATTATGACAGGTTTATCAAGAGCAGCAGAAACCCCTTTCACCCTTACAAGAGGCAGATCAGCGAAGATGTCTTCCAGGAAGCACATCAAGCCCTCCCACCAGAAGCTGCACCCTTCAGAAATGCTAGAAGCATCGATGGATTTGAGGGTCTACCAGGATCTACAGGTCCTGATGAGTCAGAGTCATTTCCTACACACATTCCAAACCTCTCCACAGAACAACCATGGTGTAACAGCCTCCAATACAGCACCACTGGTCAAGATCACAGCTCACAAGTCATGGTCAGTATTTTTTATAATTTTTTTTTCCTGTTTTCAATGGCAAAATTATACTTTGGGAATTACTTTCTTATCTCTTTATGTGACTACATGGACGTTTAGTCTCATGCTAAGTTGCAGGCTAGAGCTCAGGACAAGTATCCATATTTATTTGTCAAAGTTCTCTATTTTCTGACCCTTCCTTATGGTAAAACAGTCCTCAGAAAGGTGCACAAGAACAAATGGTTTTCCACTAGACACAATACATTAATCTTCATTGTCCATATTCTTCCTGACAACAGGTTTTATATCAGTAGTTGTCATCAATTAGTACTTTCAAGCAACAAATTTTCACAAAAATATTTTTCAAGCATGAGGACCTGTGTATCAGAGAACATAAGTAGATTAGTTCTACTAATGCAGGCTGCCCTGCATTTTTCTGGATGCAAATAGAAGGGAAGCTCTAAGACATCAGTACTACTTAAAATTAAATGTAAGATCTGTTTATGGTATGTGCAGTGTAAAGGTAGCTGAGCTAATTCACACACTGGATAGAGGTAACTCTCTATTTAGGGCACCACAAGATCCCTGAAAATCAAGGTAAATTACCCTCCAGTATCTCCACGAGGTATCTCTGCTGTGATCCAAAGTGTAAAGCGTGTCTTCACAATTTGCTGCAGACAAAAACAATGACTGCATCTGCCAGGAGAGGGCCCTAACCACTGGGTTCTAAATTGCTGTGAGGCAAAGAATTCGAGGGTTACCAAAAGAAAGAGGGTTTTAAAAAATAATAATAATCTTAATTGGCTTAAGACAATTCAACAGGGAATAGAGGGATGTTGTCACAGTACATATCTGGCGACTGAAGCCATTCAGGTTAAGGAGGAAATCAATCTACATCTCTTATTTCCTGGATAAACTCTCATCCAGGTCAGATGAGTTTAATGCAAAACCTATAAGCAGCTGATGAAGAAATTCCCATTTTCTTCCCAAATCCCTAGGCTGCAAGATGTAGAGACTGTAAAGCTAGCACTGCAGAAGCCCTTAAGAAAGCATGCGTGACTACTCAGGAGAAGACTGGCTACTTGTTAACATCTCCACTGGGACAGTACTCGCCACTGCAAAGCTCTTAAGTAGCTTACATGCTATTGGCAAGCTGACATTTCTGAAAAACTTCATCTCACAGTCAAAATAGCATGGACATTCATTACTGCTGAGTGTGGCATTTGCTTGGTGCCAGGATATCACATCTAATCTAATATGTACCCCTACACTAATTTATACTATGAAAGATGGTCACTATGACCTTTCTTTAATACAGAAGGATAAGCACTACTAGTTCCTCGAAATAGTAAGATGTCTATGACATCAGCTCTCAGAAGAGAATTCCTAGCCATGGATGTTAAGTGTGGGAAGGAACCTGAAGTCAGTCACCAGACCTGAGGATAAGGACACTGCTTAAGACGCATAATTCCCTGCACTGTTTATTACCAGCTAGCTCACTCTAGCTCTCTCTGTTCAGCACGCAGTTTGTTTGAATTGCTCTGCTAAAGCAGCCAGTGTTACCACACACACATGGTGCACTCAGCATTTTAACTAAAAGACAGCAACATTCAGCGTCCAGGAACCTGAGCCCTCCTATGTGGAATCCGGGACAGGCGGCTGGGCAGACTTGTGAGAAATTAAGACTTGATCAACATCGCTGTGTTTATTTCCACAGCTGCAGAAATAAATCGTACATTCTTACCATAGAATCTTACATTCTTACCATATTTCCTATATCTTAATCAAATTCAGTAGTCAGCCTAGTTTGATTCTTCTCTGCCACCTCCTTCCTGTGCATTATAGACCTCACTCTCTACCTAATGACTAAACTCCAGTGTCAGCTTGAGGTACTAACAGCCTGCAAGATAAAAATCAAGGAGTACGAAAAAGAGAGAGACAGAGAGATGTGCACACTCAGGAAGAAAAGCTGGAGTA